TTAAAATACATTGCGAATATGGAAACATTTGGATTTGTGCTGAATGAGAGCGGTATGTGAGCCAATACTTTCAGTTTAGCTTTAAATTAGGTTTTGGCTTCTTTATAGCTATTCTGGGCTTGTCTGCTTTCCTGTGCATAATATGCTATATTTTATTAATAAACTGTGTACCATATTTTGGTTTTAGCCTATACCGTCTTTGTCCATTAGCCTCCCTTAAGTGTTTTCTATAACCTGACGGTTTTAAATGGGGGAGAAACATTGCATTATGGCTATCTGCTTTACTGATAGTAATGCTATTAATGAGATCATTAATATTACAATTGTTATTAGTATTAATAATATTTATTAGGCCTAATACCGAATTGGGCCTCCAGTGTCACTGTTATAGTAGCCTACATTAAGCCACATTAAGTGTTTTAGAATGTCCCAAAACCGTGCCTTAAACTATAAGCAAAGCTGACTGTATTTGAACTTGAGTCCAAGTTTAAAATAAAACTCTATGAACCGCTCCATTATGAACGTACGAGCTGGATGAACCACTAAGTTACAGCTGTAAAGTAAACAGGAAGTGTTTGTCCGAAAACTGGTTTTGCAAGAGAATGCAAAAGTTTTGCGAGGGAACGCAAAATATCTTTGCGAGAGAACGCAAAAGTTTTGCGAGGGAACGCAAATGTCTTTGCGAGAGAACGCAAAAGTTTTGTGAGATAACGCAAAAAAAAAGTCCTCCCACCCCAAATGTTTTTCCCACCACCATGTCCGTAGTTTGATGCTTTACACAACAATGACTTTAAATTATCTATTGGGAGTAATTTCTCAGCCAAATTTGATGTGTGATTAATTTGCGATTAATTAGATAAATTCATCGCCACATCATGTAATTAATTAGATTCAAAATTGTAATCGCTTACCAGCCCTAATATACTGTATATACAATATACTGTATATACATCCCCCCCCCCCTCCAGCCGGTCTGTGAGAATATTTTCAAAACGTAACCAGTCTATGCTGTAAAAAATGTTGAAGACCCCTGGCATAGCTCATACCTGTCTCATGCCATATATATTATTTTTCCAAAGTTTGCATGCCTGTAACTGAAGAAATATTAAAGATGCCTCAATATGATTTTACATTCTGGTTCTTAATAAACTTGAATTTTTTAACAAAATCTTATCATTATTAAAATAAAACATAGAATCACCAATACAGATAAAGTTACACAAAATAATCCAATAATCCGTATTATAGTCTGTGCCGTACAGCGTGAGTCCCGGTCCACTCCAGTGCGGCACATTTTTGTTTTTTTTCCCCTTTTCCCCTTCGATATTGGAACGTACAAAGCCCAGTTAATTTAATTTAATAAATAATGGTTTAGCTTAAAATACATTGCGAATATGGAAACATTTGGATTTGTGCTGAATGAGAGCGGTATGTGAGCCAATACTTTCAGTTTAGCTTTAAATTAGGTTTTGGCTTCTTTATAGCTATTCTGGGCTTGTCTGCTTTCCTGTGCATAATATGCTATATTTTATTAATAAACTGTGTACCATATTTTGGTTTTAGCCTATACCGTCTTTGTCCATTAGCCTCCCTTAAGTGTTTTCTATAACCTGACGGTTTTAAATGGGGGAGAAACATTGCATTATGGCTATCTGCTTTACTGATAGTAATGCTATTAATGAGATCATTAATATTACAATTGTTATTAGTATTAATAATATTTATTAGGCCTAATACCGAATTGGGCCTCCAGTGTCACTGTTATAGTAGCCTACATTAAGCCACATTAAGTGTTTTAGAATGTCCCAAAACCGTGCCTTAAACTATAAGCAAAGCTGACTATATTTGAACTTGAGTCCAAGTTTAAAATAAAACTCTATGAACCGCTCCATTATGAACGTACGAGCTGGATGAACCACTAAGTTACAGCTGTAAAGTAAACAGGAAGTGTTTGTCCGAAAACTGGTTTTGCAAGAGAATGCAAAAGTTTTGCGAGGGAACGCAAAATATCTTTGCGAGAGAACGCAAAAGTTTTGCGAGGGAACGCAAATGTCTTTGCGAGAGAACGCAAAAGTTTTGTGAGATAACGCAAAAAAAAAGTCCTCCCACCCCAAATGTTTTTCCCACCACCATGTCCGTAGTTTGATGCTTTACACAACAATGACTTTAAATTATCTATTGGGAGTAATTTCTCAGCCAAATTTGATGTGTGATTAATTTGCGATTAATTAGATAAATTCATCGCCACATCATGTAATTAATTAGATTCAAAATTGTAATCGCTTACCAGCCCTAATATACTGTATATACAATATACTGTATATACATCCCCACCCCCCTCCAGCCGGTCTGTGAGAATATTTTCAAAACGTAACCAGTCTATGCTGTAAAAAATGTTGAAGACCCCTGGCATAGCTCATACCTGTCTCATGCCATATATATTATTTTTCCAAAGTTTGCATGCCTGTAACTGAAGAAATATTAAAGATGCCTCAATATGATTTTACATTCTGGTTCTTAATAAACTTGAATTTTTTAACAAAATCTTAATTTTCAAGGCCCCATATGGTTCAGTCCCAGAGATATGGGGATCTCAATGCGGCTTCATGTCCAAATGATTGAAAATGTATAATTTTTCAGTGGTCAAAACCCAAATGATGGTCACTTTGTATACAGCTGATACTTTCTGTATTTAAAGAGAAATGCATGAAAAAAATGTTTATATTGAAACTACATTTGTAACTTTTTTCCCTCTTATCAATAGACAATACATTTCAGAGTGCTAAAAATACACTTAAATGGTCAAGTTGAGGCACATTAACATGCTCTACGTAGCCAATTGACAAGATTCTATATTTGAAATCTTATCAGTGTCAGGAATATATACAGTGGGTACGGAAAGTATTCAGACCCCCTTAAATTTTTCACTCTTTGTTATATTGCAGCCATTTGCTAAAATCATTTAAGTAAATTTTTTTTCCTCATTAATGTACACACAGCACCCCATATTGACAGAAAAACACAGAATTGTTGACATTTTTGCAGATTTACTAAAAAAGAAAAACTGAAATATCACATGGTCCTAAGTATTCAGACCCTTTGCTCAGTATTTAGTAGAAGCACCCTTTTGATCTAATATATATATATATATAAAGGATTTTGTTCATTTTAACTGCTCCTGAAGCTAACAAGAGTTCAAACATGCAGTATTTAAACTACATGTTTGAAACAAATACCACGCCTCATAGGGAAGTGTGGTTGCTCTCCTCACACATTATATTAACATCAATGGATTAACCTGGATTAAGTATTAGATTTTCTTTATCTTTTCTTTCTTTCTTTTTTTTTAAATTATTGTTATAACATGTAAAGCATAGTCATAGATCAAGTAGTAACCACTTCTAAGGGGCATATTTGGCAGAATCACTGATATATTCCTAAACCCTGGGTTACTGTTCTTATTTGCATACTTGCAGTGGCAACAGTCATAACTACATAAACACAAATTCACATTGGTTCACATTGAAAATGGGTAGGATTCAACCATTTGGACATGGAGCCTGATATCTTTGAACAATATAGTGCCTTAAAAATTAAGATTTCAAAAGAAAAGTTTATTAAGAACCACAATTTCGTTCGAGGGCCTTCTTCGGACGACGGCACTCTGTACGTGGAGTTTAAAAGGATATAATTTAATACCTCTTGAGTTACAGACGTGCAAACTTCCGAAAAATGACTTTTTGGCACTCCAAGAGACATATTCTATGCAACTGTCTTGATAGAGGGAAACACAATATTTTTTGTTCTTCAGACATGGTTCTATAAGTATCAGCTGTATGCAAAGTGACCACATTTGGTTTTCATCCATTAAAAAGGTAAAATTCAACAAATTAGGACATTGATTTGCATTGGGTCCCCTATATCTCTGGGACTGAACCTTATAGGAAGATTTATTAAGATCCAGAATTTAAAATTATATTGATATATCTTTATTATTTCTTGAGTTACAGGCAAAATTTTTTCCATTCTTTGGAAAAAAAAATATTTATGACATGCAGACAGGTCTGTTCTATGCAATTATTTTGATAGAGAGAAACAAGATACATTTGTAGTTTCAAAATTATTTGTTCTTCAGACATTTCTCTTTAAAAGAAAAAAAAGAGTATCAGCTGCATGCAAAGTGACCCACATTTTGTTTTGGATCACTGAAAATGTGTACAAATTTGATAATTTGAGATTCCAATATTGCTGGAATGTGACCATTAAACCAAAAGAAAAGTTTGTTAAAACCCAAAATCTAAAAGGGCTTTAAGATATCTGTAATATGTTCGAGTTACAGGCCTGCAGATTTTGGAGAAAAAAAATGGAAAGGTTTTTTTGTTGTTGCATTTTTGAACTGTCACTATAGCGTATAATGCAACAAAGATTTCTAAAGTCAACAGATTTTGACCTACCAGTCCTGTGTTAAAATCATATAATGATGCTGCCATCTTTCTAACGTCATTTTGACCCCCTTGTAATTTGGCTCCAAATCTCTATCTATCTTTATAAAATAGTGGATTACTTAGTAAAAATACATCCATGACATTTCATATTTTGGCCTTCACCTTTCAAAAATCCTTACCCTAAAAGTGGCAACTTTAACAAGCTATAAAAATGATCTGTGAGGATGATCTTATATATATATATATATATATACACACACACACACAATCAAAAAATGACATGAAATGCCCCTACAACTAGATGGTCAGTAAATGATGACAGGATTTTCAATTCCGGGTGAAATATCTCTAGTGTACCATAAAAAATGCACAGACGAGCAAACATGAATGAATATGCCTGACGTAGCACGTATTACTTTGATGATGATGATGATTATTATTATTATTTTGCATAAATCATCGCGTGTTAACCATGTCACACTGGTGCATTAGAGTTTTTTCCCCCCTTCTTTTTTAACAGTGTTATTTTGCAAGGCATGAACGAGCTGCTCTTACTCGGCGTATCCCGTCGCCCACGGCAACCTGCGAGTCTCTTTTAGGATCAGGATAGGTCTCGCGATGTGATCCGCCGAGCACTCTATCTCATCTGCCGACAGTCCCAGAAACTTGGGTCTCATGTAGGGGTATTTAAGCGGCAGGTCCGAGCCACCCGAGCGTTCATTATTATTATTAGACGATCCGGCCATGATTCCACCCATGAAGCTGGCCACGGCGGATTTGACGCGAGAGAGCATGTCTGCGGAGCGCCGCGCCACGTCCGTGCGTCTCCTTCTGCCCGATGTACCCCCCAGCTCGATCCACGGCGTTGCGACACGTTAAAAAATTAATCGTACTCGCCTTACAGCTCCTCCATTGAATGTCTGAACCAACGCGGAAATAGTCCAACGATTAAAGCTCATGTGATCTCATGGATCTGTTTTCTGAGCGGCTTATACGATGACAGCTTGCGTGGGTCTTGCGCAGGAATTGATGATGAATACAATGTGTTTTTTCCTCAAAATTAATCTTTTTTTTAATTTAAATTTTACTATAACAGTATGAAAAAACAACAGACACACTGCACTTGTTTTCCCCCCTAATTTAATAAACAATATCCCAGTTTTTCCATCTAGTTGGCATGAAATGAAAATTCACCCTATTTATTTTCTGCATAGAATTATTCTGCATCTTATTAAGAAGAATTAATCTGTACATGTATTTTAATTGATTGATTGACCTCTGTCCTGTACGGTGACTGAGAAGTGCAGAACAAATCACAATTCTGAAAACAAAAGAACAAATTACAAACGCTAGTCTAAAAAACAAAATAACAATTCAGAAAACACAACAACAATTCAGAAAACATTATAACAAGTCAGAAAACACAATGACAAATTCGAAAACAAAATAACAAATCCGAAAACAAATTAACAAGTCGAGACATCTGTCAATCAATGTATACAGGGAAGAACCAGCCGAAGAACAGCAGAGTCGTGGTAGAAAGTTTAGAGATGGTACTAAAATAGCTCAGTTTAAATGTATTGTATGAATTGCCTTATAGATAAGCACTTGCCCTTGGCTTTTTGACGCGATCGACTCGGGTTCGATCCCACCTTTTGCCAAGTTTTTTTCCCCTCCCTTTTCAAATCTCGTATCACATCATAAAGGCATTTATTTTCAATAAAAATTAGGGAAATAATCAAAAAGTTGAAAATAAAGTATGGGGTAGGGTTAGGGTGGGTGTAGGGAGGGCTTTATTGTACCAATAAGGTGGCATCCATTTAATAATTTAAATTTAAATTATAATTTACACTCAATACGTTATTATTGCATACTGTTTTATAATGTACTACAATACTGAAGTGCAGATAATTGCCACTATTTGCAAAAAGTAGTATACTTGATAGTAGAACTCCTGCTATTTTAACATAGTGTAACTAGGTATTTGCACTTAGTGTAAATAGCATATTGCTAAAAATACTGCTATTTTCACTTAGTGTAAATAGAATCCATTGCTAATACGAGATTTGAAAAGGGAGGGGAAAAAAACTCGGCAAAAGGTGGAATCGAACCCAAGTCGAACTCATCACAAAGCCAAGGGCAAGCACTTATCCATCTGCACCACTCAAGCTGATATTTTACAGCCACTTTGAACTAAATCTAAATATACACTCAGTATTTTTTATTCCAGAGTAAAGGCAATTCATACAATACATTTAAACTGAGCTACTTTAGTACCATCTCCGAACTTTCTACCACGACTCTGCTGTTCTTCGGCTGGTTTTTCCTGTATACGTTGATTGACAGATGTCTCGTCCAATCAGCGGTGAGTAATCCCAAACCAATGGCGCTGTCTCAAACTATACCTACCTTTTCCGGTTTGTCTGAATTGTCGTTGTGTTTTCTGACTTGTTAATTTGTTTTCGGATTTGTCGTTGTGTTTTCTGACTTGTTATAATGTTTTCTGAATTGTTGTTGTGTTTTCTGAATTGTTATTTTGTTTTTTAGACTTGCATTTGCGTTTGTAATTTGTTATTTTGTTTTCAGAATTGTGATTTGCTTTGCACTTTACGGCCACCGTAGTCCTGACATTTTATCCTACTACCCGTCAGATTTTCCTACCAGGGTTTACTGCGTATGCGCACATCAATATTGCGTCATTTTTCTCATGCTAAACAATATTTAATGTATCTGCATTACTGTAAGGGTAGGTTTAGGGTTGGGGTAGGTGTAGACGTTAATAAAACACAATCGAATAGGTAGAAAAAAATATTTATTGTTGGTAGCTGTATCCCTTCTATCCACAACTGCGAATATAACACATAATTACTATATTTGCATTACTGTAAGGGTAGGTTTAGGGTAGGTGTTGACATTGATAAACCATAATTTGACAGGCAGCATTTTTCGTTGTCGAACTGTACTACCTACTGTTTTAATGGAAGGTAGCAAAATCTGACAGGATAGCAGAAATCGACAGAACATATGTTCAAACTGGAAACAACAGACTTTGGTGACGTATGCAGGACTTTAAACCTAATTTGCCTCCACTTTCCAGTACAATGCCTACATCTCAAAACCCAATCAACAACTGAAGCGTGGAACCAAGTCCACGTCCTTTTTTTGTTTGTTTGACAATCTATACACTCGAATGTACATCACAATACAAAAGAAAAGATCTGCACTACTTTTGTTTCATTGTGACTTTAAACAATTTTTTGGCAGTTGCTGCTTATCACAATTTAACAGAAGGTACTCCCATAATTTATGCCCTAAAAATTACATGGCGTGTAGGAAAGAGTATAGACCGTGCGTTGGAAAACTTAAGTTGTCAAAGAAACAGCTTTGTTACATATTTGTGGTTTTGCCTATCTCTGTGGTTTTGACTCTCTCTTTTAGCTACTCCCATTAGAGGTCGCTACAGCAGAATTATCCACAGCCATTTGGCACAGGTTTTACAGCAGATGGATGCCCTTCCTGCACTGCACTCCCAGCACTGAGTGCACTAATTTGCTTATTGTATATTAATACAATAAATTAAAGCAATAAGCCACAAGAAGCCATGGTTTACAGTGGAATTTATAACAGCTAAGGGGCGTTGTTAGTCACGACACGAAGCGGAGTACCCTCAGACAACTTTTATGATTAGATAAATGTTACCTGCAGGTGATTGAGTATTTTTCCATAATCCACAAAAGTTTCATTTCCTTGTAACAGCTATGTGAATAATAAGGCTAACACAGTAAATTAATAAAGAAAAATTACCATTTTCACAGAAATTTTAACTTTAAAATAAATCTATAAAATAATTGTATATAAAATATCTAGGTTTACTGGTAACGACCCTGACTCACAATACAGTGGGACACTGTAGGTCGTAGTTTTGGGTAGTGGGCCCAGCATTTATGAATTAAGAATGTCATTTTGTCCTGTGGTACCTTAAGTGGTAACCCACCTTGGAAAACCACAGATCCAGTGGTTGACATGAGCTTAATAATAATAATAATAATAATAATAATAATAAAAAAACAACAACAACAAAGGAATACGAAAGAGGTATGTAGTTGAAGTAGTGATACGTTTTTTTGGGGTACTTGCACATATTGGGGTGTTAGGGAAAGAGGTGGATGATAGCCAAAAATAACTTGATAAATTAGAAGCGGATGTTAATTGCCAATGGGGAAAATGGAAGTAAAAGCTACAATTACAAATGAATTAATGAACGGTCGAAAAGATGGTACAGTGGTGAAACAGGCAGGGTTTATAAAAAGTACTTCCTTATAAAGAATGCTAGATAGATGTGGTGGTAAAACCCAATTAAAACAATTTAACAAAATTTATAATTTTTACAATTTTGATTTTATTTCACTTTCAAGACAAATAAACACAAATTGGGAGGGGGCACATAAGTAAAAAAAAAAAAAAAGCTGTGAATGTATCCCAAGTAAATCTTGCTCACTGAGAAAGTGGTGTTGACTGCGTCTACTGCAAAAACATGTTCCACAAATTAAAACGTGCTGTTTCTTAAATATTTACTGTAAGTGCCTTTCACTCTTGATTATTCCAGAAGAACAAACAGTATTTAGACAATGCAGTGGTCCCTAGGCAAATATTGTGTCCTGGAGGCTGTTTTCTGCATTCAAGCCATATGACTTCAGAGGTCCTCATGTTTTTCGGGTGAGTCACCAGTTTGGGAACCTTCAGAATCAAAGGCAGCCACTTCCTTATTCTCTTCTGATGAAACACACACACACACACAAAGACATAATTGCAAAAGTATGAATTTCTGTGTAAAACAATGGGGAGTTAAGAATTTATTTATAGGGTGGAAATCTGTCCTCTTACTCTAACTTGTATAATTTGTTGATATAACGAGTATAAATGTTGATTGTTCTCTGGAAACCTCAATGGTGGTACAACCCAATCAGGGGCGTAGCCATCATTTCAGAAGTGAGGGGGACAGAAATGTTTGTTTATATATATATATATATATATATATAAATAAACTAACATTACAATATAACATTTCTGTAATCTATATAACCTACCAGTCAACAGTTTTTGAACAGTAAGATTTTTAATGTTTAATAAAGAAGTCTCTTCTGCTCACCAAGCCTGCATTTATTTGATTCAAAGTACAGCAAAGCAGTAATGTTGTGAAATATTTTTTCTATTTAAAATAACTGCTTTCTATTTGAATATATTTTAAAATGATTGCTGTGATCAAAGCTGAATTTCCAGCATCATTACTCCAGTCTTCAGTGTCACATCCTTCAGAAGAGACTTCTTTAAAAAACATTAAAAATTTTACTGTTCAAAAACTTGACTGTTGTATAGGCAACTTTAATTGTTCTCCAATTTCTAGCTTTTAATTGACTTAGAAATCAGATAACTGCTGGACAATAAACAATAATAATGATTTGTTTATATACTACAAACACTATCACAAGGCAGAATAGTTTCTATACTGTAATAAATGTTATGTCAATTAGCACTGCATTGTTCATATACTTTATTTATTACCTGAAGATTACTTGACAAACAAATAAACCATATATTGTCGCAATCGTATGTTTAATGTCTTCATGTTTCCAAACGTTTCTGTTTTCTGTGAAAACAACTGTTTTCATACAGCGATAGCGGGACGCTTTTGTCCATATTAGGGATTTCCTGGTATGACTTTCTGCGCGAGAGCGCCCTCCGGCTTCGAGTATGAATGAAACATAC